ATCAAGGACAATGATTTCAGTGAAATAACACAGAAGTGACCCATGCCCTCAGCAGAACAGCCAGAAAAGACAAGCTAAGGGCTTAGTTCTGTGAAATACCAAGCAAACTTTACAGACTCTGCTGGAGTGAACAAAGTTGGACAGATTTGGCCCATGATAACTGTATTGCTCGTACTTTATACATTGAGAAATGGAATCACAATCAGGCAAAGCGACTGAAAATCACATGCAAAATCGATAACAAAAGTGGGAGTAACCTCCAGCCCTTGAGTGCCAGACCTCTCTACTCTAAACCACAGCAATTAGATCATTTAGGTGAACAGATTCCCTTTCCCAGGCCTGCCAGTAAGAGATCCTAATACACTGCTAATGAGTCTCTTTCCCTGTGGAATCAGAAAAGCTACTTATGGCTGCCTTGTAGCACATAGAACACAGTATAAACATAGAAAAATACAATTAGTAAAATGGAATTAAATTTTAACAAGTTAGTGGAGGGATTTTTTCCTTTCTGTTTCAGAAGGCAATCGATTGCATGGCAAGAGTTGTTATGCTGAAATTACAGGGAAGAAATTTAATAAATAAGAGATCACTTACAAAACTTCCCCTACCCCTCAACCAAATCAGGTTAGCCCTGATGTGACACGAAAATAAAGTAAAATAAAGTTTAAAAAAAAAAACAAAAACAAACAAGTGAAAAAAAAAAAATAAGTACAGTGCTAGCTGTCACAGAATTAAGATCATATCTTTGACTGAACTTTCTATACTTTCCTTGGTTTCCTAGTCACTCCAGCCCAGTTTGCATAGGTATTTTGGAATCTCTTCTCATCTGAGGCAAACTCTCCACGGTGGTGCTGCTGACATAGTATTTAGCTTGCAGTTTGAGTGCTGGTCATTTGTTTATTTTGAGTGATATCAGGAAGAAAAGCAAGAAGGGTTTGTTTTTATGGTGCAGAAAGACACTCCTGGCATTCCTGAAGGAAGGATTGAAGGGGTGGTCTTAAGACTGCACTGATGAATAGCACTTCATCTGTGCTGAGCTTGCATAGTTTGGGCAGGAGAGAGAGATGATCCTAGCAGCAACTGCTGCACCACAGGGTCATCCCTTTTGTCTTCTTACTGGAGGAAGGGAGCTGAATATGTTGTTTTTGTGTTGCCAGAGCACTCTGTGTTTGTTAACCTTCCTTGGGTCTTAGAAGAATCATTAGGAGTTTTCTATGCCTCTGCAGCAAGATAGAAAGTTCTCTTGGTGAGTTTTTCCTGCCTTGTCTCTTCCATTTTCTTTTATGTCTGCACAAAAAGGTATTCATATTCACCCTTGACAGGCAGACAGAATCGTACAAGGTTAAAACCAGCCCACTGATTAAACTGACTGTTGAGCAAGTTTATTTTTCCTGCTAAATTTATGTGATTTATCTTATAATAGCTTGGAAAGGAGAGAAAGGAAGCTTTACTCTTTCCTCAAGCTTCCAACAGAACTTGAATTTTCTTAGATCTACTCTACCAAATGAAGACACCTTTTACTAGCACCACCCTTTAATCTTTTTATGTCATTAGAATGGCAGCCCCAAAAGGCAGATTGGAACTTGAAGTGAAGGTGACTGAAATAGGTCTAGTTATTTGTGCAACCTACTTCAATAAAATCCCTTAAATTTTTACAGAACAAACATTTACTCTGTCTCCCCCTGGATCCTGTAACTGAATCCATGTGGGTGAATCTTAAATCAAAAATCTTAATAGTATGCAAAGATACTTTTTGAGACCAAGCTCAAAAAGACAGCTCCAAAGACAATGTAAGTCACACATAATATTTAAATAAATTTTAAACTACATTTTACCAATATTTTATCACAATTTTCCCAGGATTTTCTTTTTGTACTGACCAGAACTTGTTACCAAAATTGAAAACCCTAAAGCAATATTGGGGAAAAAAACGAGCAACTTTTCTCAGTGATAACCTCAATATGAGTCAGTTTATTTGAGTGCAGTGAAAGTACTAAATTCAAAATATTTTTATTATTATTTAAGTGGGCTGAAAGACAAAGCATAGGATTTATCTACACTGACATCACCAATGTATCTATGTTCAAGCAAGCTGGCAACACAACCAAGACAACTCAGAGCTCAATACAATTTCCCCAACAGTTTACCCTGCCTGTCACGTGGGTTTTGTTGTGCAGTTATCACTGTATCACTGTGGCTAGAAAAAGAGTTTGAAATTGAGCAGGGTGCACCTACAGTGACATAGCCATCACAGTCTCCAAACTAATGTAGAAATACTCTGTATTTCTATTTCTATTATATATTTAAAGGCTAGACATACTCACATGAGGTGGATGCACATACACAAGCATCTTTCATATACACACAGTGTTTGAACTCACCGGCCACCAAACCATGCTCCGTCCAGCCAGGAAGAATCCACCGACTGTCCCTCGGTTGGTTGAGTACATAGCCTGGAAAAAAAGAGAGAGAAAAAACGATTTAATCATATCTTAAGTATATTAGGCAAGCTATATACAGACTAATAACAAACTGCTAAGACAGAGAGGTAAAATACATGGGGAAGGTAAAGTGGAAGAAATAAACAAAGTGGTTAGATAGAACAAGCTTACAATGAAGAAAACAATACAACTGAACAATGATTTCGTATCTAGGTCTATATTAACCCTTGAAGTTTCATTGCTTCACTTTTTGTTACACTACAACCAAAACCTCAAAATAAAATTAAATGTAATGATACAATTGATCACAACTAAAAGTTTAGTGTGCAAATCGTGTGAACACTTCATGAAAGCAATGATCCCTTTGATTTTAGGCACCAAAGAAGACTGATTTTTAAGTTGCAAGTTCATGGAATTTTCTATTCTATGCAGCTTTTCTATATAGTATTATCCAACCCTAGCAGATAGCTACAAAAACCTATTTTCTTGTTGTGGTATTAACAGTGCACTCACTTCTCTCTAAAGATCAAACATAGAAGTCAGCTAAAATTTCCTTTTCACAGACTGATTTTATATTTGTCTAAGGATGGGCTTTAGAGGAAAGCTTCCTCCATTTTTCTTCATGAGCCTGATCCAAATATTGGATTCCCATTGTATCCTCTGATGGACTTCGAACAGGCAAATAAAGAAAGAAGACTCGAAGAAAATTAGCCATATCTTTTATTCTGATGCAGAAGAAAGGAAGTCTACAATAGATTTCCATTTCACTACACACAGGAGTATTTGTCCAATAAAGAAAGCATTGTTGCTGGAAAGAAATGGTTCCAGGCATTACTCAGAACACAATTATCTGACCTGATACAGATCAGCCCTTTTCTGTCACAGACCTTTAATAGAAAGTTCAACTACACCAATAGACTTCCATGGAAAAGACCCCACAGACAGTTCCCTGCCATGAGACAGCAAGGTGTTCAGCTACGCTGAGGATTCACATTTTATCCAATGTTTTTGACATCTACTACCACAACAAAAAGATAAAGACTGGGTTGTGCCCATTTTGTGTACACTCCAAAATTCTGGTGCTCTTCAAAACATTGCCAGACTGCTAGGGAAGAACATTGTTTTTTTGGTTTTTTTTTTTTTTTGGCAGCTGACTTTTCTGTTCTGTGCAATGGACCCCTGGGATGCTCCTGGCAAGCACAGGTTTACAGAGGGACAGTGCCTCCTCTCAGCTTGTTAATGGTCAGGCGCTCAATTGACCAGGAGTGCTTGCCCCAAGGAAAAAGAGTATGCCTCAGAATAGCAGCTTTGAAATTCAGTGACATTCCACGGTTTACAGCATGGTACTGGCCTATTATCCCCAGAGACCTCAGCACTAGGGCTATGCCAATAGGATAGCATCTGCCTTTCTCCATTCGTTGTGAAAGCATTGTGCTTTGTTTTAGGATTAGGCACTGAGTTTTCCCTTGCAGCCCTCAGGTATTCTGCATTGCCTGGGAGGGAGCAGGAGGCACAGCTCTGCTTAGATCACAAACAAAAAGTGATCGCTATTTCTTGCCACCCCTGAAACTCTCCCTTCCTCATAGTTTCCATGGCACTGCTCCCTGTAGTCAAGGTCCTGCTGGCAAAAAAAAATAGCACGAAAGTAATACTGCTCTGCTGAGAGCAGTCTGTGGTCCTCAGCCTGTCACACAGTCATAGCAGCAGTTTCACACCACAGACATCAACATATATTGCCCTCCTCACACAGTGACTCCACCTCCACTATTCTCCCCACAACTGTCACTTCTTGCTGTTTCCTACAGCATCACCTCACACCACCAATTCCCACTGCAGTCTCCTGCGTTCTGCAGCGCTACACCCCATCGACTCCCTGCTAGCCTGCTTTCTAACAGCAACCCTAGTTGGCCTGGTCTTTACTGATCCAATCTCTCAGCTCCTTCCCCATATAAACCCTGCTTCTCCGCTAGTTCTGTTCATCCAGTTAAACAGATGCTTCTCCAGGTCATCCTTACCTCTCCAGTAAATACCCACATTTGCCCCACCATCTCCATATTAACTATCTCAATTAAGCACCAAGATCTTTATACAATTACACATTTGCCATTCACTGAGACATTTTCCTAGGACTCTATAAACTACCTGTTGATCAAGCACAAAAAAAGAAAAAAAAAAAAAGCCCAACCTACCCATAGTCCCACTGCCAGGACTACCAAAAAATAGATGACAATAACAGAGATGTCCGCAGCATTGTTGATCCTTATGAGGGTTTGCATCCTGGCTGCTTCTCTGGCTTTCTTCTTCTTTCTCTCCTTATATGCTTCTTGCAGAGTTCAGGTTAATGATAAACTGCTGTCATCCCCCTACGTCTTATATAATATATAACTTCAGATTCACTTGTCTCACATGGGACACGAGTTGAACTGCTGCTTTTCCCTGGACAACGCTTCCTTCTCAAATATTGCTCCCCTGCTACAGGTGCTGCAGATTTAAGAGTTCACTCCCCTTGCCAAAGGTGCTCAGGGTTTTAACATCGACGAGCAGATGTCTAAGAAGGAATGAGCACCGAAAGGAGTGGCTTGGCTGCAATAAACCCGCATATTTACCTCACTGTGAATACTTTTTTTTTTTTTTTTTTGAAGTGGTTGTACCTGTAAATCTAGTCATGGAAGACATAGTTCTTTCAGATGATGATGGTAAACAATTATCTGTGAGGAGGAGTGACTTGGCACTTGGGGAAAACCCAGGGGTCCAGAAGCTGGGACACCCTATGTCATCTCTCAGCTCAGCAGGATTACACAATGGAGAAGCAGCCCTATGTTTCTGGGAAGGAGACAACTTGAAGCTGCTTTTATCTCTCACATGGATGCAGGTAAAGATGCATGTGAACCACGAGACTCAGATCCAGGAGCTTCCTGTGCTGAATTTCAGGGTGTTCAGACTGGGGTTTTGTGCTCTCTGAATTGTAGCTAATCAGCTTCACATTCAAATAAGTTCAAAGTTCATCGCTGCTTTGGTCTGCTCTCCCTTTATTTGTTCCTCTGACTTCAAAATAAAGCTAAGCAAAATAACTGGTCACAAGATATGGGACACACTGTTTATATACAGATCTTCACAGTCCATAATAGGGAAGCTTTCCTAAACAATGCCTTTTTGAGGTAGAAGAACTCTGAAAAATTAAGGATATTTAGAACCATAGCCACAAGTGCCAGGCATGTTTCTGAGGACATTCAAAAGTCCTGCTCTCTGCTAGAGAATCAGTATTCATTCACATCTGCCTTTTGGGATTAAAGTGTGTGGTGTGTTACTTGGAGTCACACTGAGCAGAACAAGCAGTACAGTACATAGAAAACACAGCGGGTTTGATTGATCTTGAAGTGCTTATTTCCTCAGGAGTTGAAATTGAGGTCTGGCAATCTGTTGGCAACAAATTTTTCTCAGGTGAACTACCCTTCTGTAATTGTGGCTAATAAAGGGCATTAAAGTCTTAGAAGCTGTTATATTTCCATTAAGAATAAACTTAAAATATTACTATTGTTTGATCTTCGGTACTCATAAAACAATCCTGTACTCTGACAGTTTAGGCTTCCCTCCCAAAACACCTTCTTCAGTTTGTTCTGCAGGTCTGTGAAATGTTAGCTATAAAGCCAACAGAGAAAAAAATTAACCCTGGAAGCTGCTGAGCATCCAGAACTCTCATTAGCTGCAACCTTCCCTACTGTGTATTTCAGAGGAGGGGAAAAAAAAAAAAAAGGACTTATTTACTAACCTTAATTATCAGGAAACAGTTTGCCTAAGATAGGCTGTAGATGGCTCTTCTTTACAAAGATTGCCAGATTCTTGTGTGTCCTTGCAACTAATAAGTTTGATTTTCAGGAATTTCATTTCTGCTTCAATCTACAGAGGTAAAGGAAATAAAATATTAGACAGGAGCTTATCTACAGTAACATATCCTGTGTTCTCATCTAGACCTCTGCAAAAAAAAGAGCTCAGAGAGGCTAGGAAACATTACAGCTTCCTGTCCATAGATCCTAGCATGGTTATATCAAGACTCCAAGGCTTGAAACAGTAGTAGAGATTAAATGTCTAAAAAATGGCAATCATGCAACTCCATTCATTACATAGAGTGGAACCATTGACTTAATTCTGTTTTCTTTCTGAAGGCCACAAACAGAAACTAAACATTCTCTACAGGAGTACTAAAAAGGGATGGCAGCTTTGTCAAGGCTCTTAATATCTGGTCTCCACATCCTCATATCTGCAGTCCAAAGAGAATCCTAGAAGCGTTATACTCAGCAGATTACTGGTGTACTAAATGAATCACTTCATGAATTGAATGCATATAAATGGTCTCTGAAAGGTCAGCCAAGTTTTCAGACTTGAAAAAGGCTGAACCTAGCCTTGTATTAAAGCTTTTGGAAGATAAGCATGAGTGTACCTCCTGATGTGAAGCACAACCTTTGCATCAGGAGGCAATGATTTCTTTTTCTCTCACCCAGAGTAGCAACATGCTTCAGTGGGTGTGTTCATCATACTGAAGTACCTGGTCAACTACAGGGCTCCAGTACTGGACAAAATGACAAAATCATTTGATATACTGTGGAAATTTCTCTACTCTGTTGTGAGCCAGGTCAACTCATTTAAGAGGGGTTTTAACTGGAGTGAGAATAACAATGTGTCTAAGTAGCATAACATAGGTATCCAAGTCTACAGTGATTACTCTCCTCTGACCAAGTCTGACAACGTTAGCATATCATGAATATCTCCATTCATACCTGAATAGACAAAACAGACAAAGGATGAAAGCAAAAACCATGTAGTAAATTGTTCAAAATCACATACCAGATCACTGATGGAGCCTGAATGGAATTAATTTATAGATTTATAGAAGTCTTAGGTTGCCTCTATGCAAACAGTTACATATGTCACTTCCTCCAAAAACTTATTGTGTTTTTCATGACCAATATTGTTTCTGTCTAGTACCATACTGGCAACAAATGTTCTGCTTGTGGGTTGCTTGCGAAAAACTGTATCACAAAGGCTTGAAATAGCTGCCACCCTCTGATCACAATGTCAGAATTCCAGCTCCCATGTAAGTCTTCCTCCTGATGATGGCAAATGATAAAGCAAAGAGTGAAACAAACAAACCACAAAGAGAACAATGCATTAGTATGCAAACTACCTCCCACAGAGGAACTGTCTAACATTCCTCCAAAGTTCGCTATAAAACAAGATTTCTTTTGGGGATGCTCCTCTGAAATGCTAGTTTATACATCAGTTAGCCTGTACAATTGATAAAGGACAAAAACAGATAACAATTTTACATTGTAAATGGTCACATACTATGTTAGCAAAGTCTCTCCCCCTCCTTTGCTGGTTTCCTAGCCACATCCTATAAACATGGTGAGAAAAGAGATCATACTTGCAAGTAGACAACTGCATATGATATTTTGCTTTCAGCAAAGTTTTCCTAAGATGGTCCTAATAATACAGTACAGCAGAGCAGGAGACAGGAGCATTATTTAGTACTTTTTTGATGCACAAGACCATTTTCTATTTGTGCAATCTTCCTTAAGTGAGCAAAATTTGGATCTAATTAGAAGAATTACTCACAGAAGGATGACAATGATGTTGGAAACAAAAAAAGTGGAATCCATAAAAGAGGAATTGCTAACAAGGAAAAAAAGATTCCAACTCCAGTAGTGAGGTGTAGCTAACAGTAGGAACACAGTTCCCTTGCTAAAAGGATACCAGAAAGGTCATTCATTCTATTCCTATTCATTAAAAGATCAGATCAAGAAACATAAAATTAAAAAAAAGTGTTTCTGAAAAAAATAAAATGAATGGTATTTCTGGACCAATTTTCTGCTGAGCATCTCTATTGAGAAGAAATATCAGAGGACATAAAAATAAATTCATATGCAGATAGCTCAAGAGAATTGAAGTAGATATAGTCAGTCCTTCAGCAAGTGATTAAATTATCTCTGTATGATCATGAAATATGCCCAGCCCTGTGGTATCATTGCCAATGTTATCAAAGCAACAGTCCAAGGACTGTACTCCTCCTACAAGATAACAAATAAGTTAACTTGATTTTATTTTTATTTTATCAATGCTTTATTCATTTTTATAATTCAGGCCATCAATGCGGAAGAGTTAATGGCATGAGATGCATTTCAAATTTCCCTTTGGACTATTATATTTTAATAAAATCCTTAGCAGATTAAAAAATCCTCCTCAGAACCAATGCAGGCTGTCACCAGATTTAGCCACGTGACAGCTGTGCAGATAGTTCCCCACAAGCAACTTCTTAATTGAGTAGCACTCTCATAAAACAGAAGTACAACTTTTATCTCAGGAACTGTGTAACACAACATTATTCTCATGGTCCAATTCCTCTTATTTGGTCTATGTTAGAAGCTCATTAATCCTTCTTGTGAGCTTCCTACCTGTCCCCTAAAACAACATTTTCTGAGAGACACAAGCTGTTTTACCACTTTTACTCTAGCTAAAATTAAAGAGTAGAAAAAATTATCTAGACTTCCCGCACGATCATGACCACAACTCTCACAAACATTTTTGCCACTTGTGTTTCAGACATGCCTAGGAACAACCACGCCTCCATTCCATAAAATGCAGGAAAGAAATGAACAGGGGATAAGCTGTTAAGGCCTCTTCTATTGAAATCATTCTCCAGTTGTTCAAGTGACCTAATGAAAACCCTGGTTATTCATACTCCATTTTGCTTGAAATAAATGTAATCACTCTTGAGCAACAGATAACTTCAGCTTTTGCAGATATGTTTTGATTTCCCTTGAGGAATAACAAATACATTATTATTTAGTGTATATGACAGGTTAATTTGATTAAAGAAATCCAAGTGTGGGGGGAAAATACCATAATCTACTAGTGTAATAGCCTCATATATTATATATGTGTATGAGTCTGTATGCATATATATATATATATATATATATATATATATATATATATATGTATAAAGCTACATCACTTTGTTCTACAGGGTTCCAAGTGCTCAAGCACTCTTCAGTTAAGCTTGTTTGTACAATGTTTGGTCAGGAAATTAAACGAGGAAAAAATCTGATTAATATGTTCCCACTGTACAAAATACGTCATGAAGGTTCTGGAAAATTGGTAAAAACAGAAAACATAGTGGGAGAGAACCCAGAATAAACATTATTTTAGGAATTTGAACTGAAAGACATGGTATTCATATTTGCAACAAATCAATTGATTGCTTAAACAGCAAAAGATTATCAGAAACAGGGAACAGTAAGATGTGCAGACATCTTTTGGTCAGACTGAGTTCTGACAGAATCTCAAGCAGAACAAAGAGGACAAATGTTTTCTCTCAATTTCAAAGTTCTATGGAAAGCAGCATTAAAGATATTAACTTATAATCCAGAATGACACAAGAGGCTTATGACTAAGCAAGTTAAATAACTCAATGGCTAGGACAAAGTTATCACTCAACTAATATTTGAAGCTTTGATTTAGATTACTAACTCAGAATATATATCTTTGCTAGCATATTCTTTTTATTCCAATCATAACTATATAAGGGGAAATGGTTTTATACTAAAAGAGGGCAGATTCAGATTAGATGTCACGTGGAAATTATTTACTGTTAGGGGGGTGAGGCACTGGCAGAGGCTGCCCAAAGAAGCTGTGGCTGCCCCATCCCTGGAGGTGTTCAAGGCCAGGCTGTATGGGGCTTTGAGCAACCTGGTGTGGTGGGTGGCATCCCTGCCCATGGTAGGGGGGGGGAACTCAGTGGTTTTTAAGGTCCCTTCTAGCCCAAGCCGTTCTATGATAATTTTAACTCGACATCTCTGATGTTTTAACTCGACA